ACGACAACGACTTATGACTACGACTCAGTTGCGACCATCTTTGTGCGCGGACCCTTACTCAAAGGCATACATCTGTTCTTATCTAATATGACAGCACCATCTATCGCAAGACCGCGCAAATATTGCTACACGGAATTTCGGTTCTGTTGACAGTCCCAGTCTTCGCAAAACATCTGTATCAAAAACATAGAGAATGGACTGCGCGATCCGTGTGTCAAAATGGTCGATAGGGATGAGAGAGAGAGGGACCGTGGGAGACGGCCATTTCTATCTCTTTCCATTCAATGGTGTAATGGGAGAGAGAATGAGAGGGAGATTGGCCGTCTTCCACGGTCCCTCTCTCTCATTATTGTCGACCACATTTGATACACTACTTATGGCGAATTCGATTGGATACACTAGTGCGCACTAGTGTGCACTGAGTGCGCCTTCTCTCATAGCGTATTTCACTGGCACAACCGGTGCGCACTCAGTGCGCATTAAAGCTGTTGTACATTAACCTAATCTGACTGTAAAAGTGAGAGATCTCAGTTAATAAAATACCCAATGTATATTTTATCAAATATCACAATAAAATGTATTAAGGATTTCGTGGTTTAATTTATTTCTATAATTTTATTAAACGTACATTTTTATGTCGATTTGTGTACAACAGCTTTAAAGTGCATTGAGTGCGCACCAGCTTTGCCAGTGAAATACGCTATCAGTTTTAGCGTGTTCGATTGAGGTTACCCTCTATTGGTGCGTCTGCCACTTGTGTTCGATTCATAACTGCACTAGATTAGTGTCAATACAAATGGGTTCGATTGGGTAAGGCCCTGCGCACAATAGAAGAAATAAGGAATTAAAAATAAAGAATAAACAATTTTAACCTATCAGAAATCGGAATACACGGTTTCTAATAGGTTGAAATCGTTTATTCTTTATTCCTAATTCCTTATTCCTTCTATTGTGCGCAGGGCCTAACTCTGCCACAGTGTAGTGAATTCTTTATGTTTGATTGAGCTAGTTTCACTGTCATAGGACGCACTCGAATGCAGGGCTTTTGACGGTGTATTTCAGTGCAAAGAGGTTACGATGGCAGAAAAAATATTTGTCGTGTTAAACGAATTACTGGACACGTCCAGTAGCAGTAGTGACGGCGAAATATTATTAAAACTAGAAAAGACGAAAATTCATAAAGTAAAAAATATGGTGAAAATTATAAATAGTTATAGTGATAAAGAAGTGAGTCACACGTTATAAAAGTTGTTATAAAAATTGAAAAATGATTATTATTATTATAATTGATAATTATAAAATTCCAAATTAACACAAATTTATAATGTACGTGATATTTGTATAATTAAAACTATATATTATAACCTAATTAATATATTT